CGGGACGTCTGTAACTTCCTTTCTTTTTTGTTCTTTCTTTTGTTTTCTTTCTTTTTTTTTCTTTTTTTTTTTTTAGCTTTTTGCAATGGTCTTCCACGGCTGGCTTGGTAAATTCCTATTCGAAGTACTTGACTGCCTCTCGAGTCTTATTCAACTATTCCAGAATACAGCAATCTGATGGCAATAAATTTCCGGTACTCTGTATACTACGGATATATACTACACCAGGTGGCTGGAACACCAGGCAGGGCGAACGAAACCGTCGCCCTTGCCGCCACCACATTCCAAACAGACAAACGTGGGGGGCATTTGGGGGGTCGTCGGCTCTTCCGCCACACCATGCACACGGGAATCGTAAGCCGTGCCCCAGGCCACCCAATCATAGCCCTGGTGGGCCAAACAGGCAAACGACCGATACAGTTGATCTGCTAGCGCGATCGCGCGATCGGTGATTCCCTCGGACCCCAAAATAGCCGCCAGCTCATACAACCATGCCACACATTCACCAAACTGTGGTGGCTCTTTATCAGGCGAGAAGGTCGGACACAATCGGCTCACGTATCCTGAGCTGTGAACCCGACGTCCACGATCCAGCACTGGCGCGAGCAACATGTCGGATATGGCGAACGCATCTGAAACAACGGGGTCCACGCCAAGGATTTGACGCGCGCCTTGGTACCTTATGAAATAGTAGTGCATCGCGTGGTTATACGCCTGGGTTACGTAGGCGCGGGCGTCGCCTGACATCCTCCACTCTTCAGCGGAGCGTACGAGCTCGCCCCGGAGCAGCAGCGCGTAGGATACGGCGCTGTTGCGGATGCCCGAGGCTGCGGCATCAACAATGACGTTGACACAGCGTCGCGACCTGTGGTCCCTAAAGATGTCAAGCATGTCGTTCACTAACCATACATCCCTTATGCCTATCCATAGAGCGCGAGATCCGACACACACGAAGTTGCAGTGTTGTTGGCTTGGTGGTGTGCCACCATCTATATGTCGTACCATGAAAGCCCGTAGGTGATCAAGCACACAGCCCGAGTAGGCCTTCCGCCAGGGAGTGAACATGACCTGCGACGTCAAGGTGGCACAGCCCAGCTCCGTTTCGAGGCCATCCCCCACCATCGAAAGCGCACACAGGCTGGCGGTTACGTTCGTCTGTCTCATAAACCACCACATATCACCCGGGGTCGCGTCATGCATCGAGTCGACCGGGACGACAGACAACATCACCCCAGCGGGGGCCCATCCCGTAGCACACCCTGGAAGACACAGGCAGGCCTGCCAAAACGAACTCAACAATGCCGCACTGAACGATATCAGATCAGCTTTGTTCAGCCCCGTGAACACCCCGTATTCGTCCAACGTGGCGAAGAAATCGATGGGAGGTGCAACCTGCAGGTCAAGTATAGCGCACCTAGGCCGGTGTACCATGGCTTGCACAGTTTTTGCATCAGCGCGCGCTGGCCACTGTCTATCGGGGTCTGTGCACGACACCACCCAGTCCGCCCAGTCAACATTTGGGCTCTGCGAAAAAGCATTCCAGAGCCCTCTCAGCTCACGGTCGCAGTCGTCGGCCGAGACGAATTCTTGTGCCTGTGGCTCTGCATCTCCGACCTGAGCGCTCGTGCTGGCCATATCCACGGGCGGGAGGTCCATTGGGCCGTCGTTGCACCGCACTGCTAGTGCATGACGCTCAGCCAACCGCTGTGCGATGTCCGCCAGACGGTGCCGCACACTCTCGCTCCCTACCCTAGACGCGCTAATCGCCTTGGCGAGGGAGTTGTAAGCCTCGTGGATGGAAAGGGCCTCACGGCTGCCCTCGGGTAGTTGGAATGCCGTAGAACATGGTTCGAAGCGCACAGAAGATGCTGCCACTTTGAACGTAAGTGGTACACCACTGGTGCCGGTGGACGTAGGGCCTCGCATTGGACAGGTAGGTATCAGGGCCGGCGCTCGGTAGGTTAGCCTTGTAAAGTGACGGGCGGTAGGTTAGCCTTGTAAAGTGACGGGTGGTTAGCCTTGTCAAATGGGATGGGTGGTAGGATAGGGTTGCAAAAAGGACAGCAACACAACAACACGTAGGGGTCGCCGTGCCGTGCGGGGTTACTCGTAAGAAGCACCGGGTGCTGCCGCGTAAATGCAACCCCATCTACTTCCTACTGGGGCCCGCTATACGGCGCTATCCGGGCCAGACCTATTGCCTTCGATCGACTGCATTAGACATGAGGGCATTATGGGAATCGTGTTAAAGGTATGGGTGTTTAAGGTGGTAGTTGCTGTGAAGATGGACGCGCAGCAAGGCCATCGATGCGCTAACTACGTCTAGAGAGTAGGCCTGTTTTTTGATAGGGCACTAGGCAAGTCCCTACTTAATATATCATTTTGCCCCTATCACAACGCTGTCAGCTGTCTAAAACAGGCTTTTAAAAAAACATAAAAGATTTGTACACGTAATAGGAAACGTGCCCAGTGCCCTGTCAAAAAACAGGCCTCACGCGCCGCGCATACAGTGGGGTGTAGGTAGGAGGTAGGTACCTTAGTACCCAACTACCAGGTATGTACCTAGATACCTGTGTAATGCAGTAAATCGACACTATAGAAACAGGTGTATCAACGATCACCTGTAACGATGGAAATTAATGTGTAGAGGAAGCTTACTGGCAAGTAATGCGGAAATTTCCTCTCGTAATTACTTTAGCGTCTGTGTTTGCTTATCTGACGCATAACATATCCGCTAGCGGATTGCTGCTGAAAGCGCCTGTGAAAATGGTCGAGCTCCGATTCATATTCTCGGCCCAGCTAGTTTGAGTCTTGTACAAATTACAAGCACCTGCATCCTGCATCACATCGAGCCCGTCACCGCTGACTCCTCACTGCCATATTGCGATGAGATGGGACGGCGAGCTCATCCTCTTCTTCCCACAATAGTTACAATCTCTAAATCACCAATCACTTGGCTTTTGAAAATGGTCAAATTATCGAGGTTTGTATCGCTATTCGGAATTCAAAATTTGGACACTTCTGAGGCCCCGTGTCAGCCTATAGCCCTAAAATCCAGAGGAATGGAGAGACCCTTCTTGATATATACAAAGAATATGTTGAACCAACTTTCTCCAGAGACCGGGGTGAGATAATATAGTGTTGAGATAGGATATACACCAACAGGGGTGTTTCAAGAGTTCCTCACTTATCTTCCAACTCGTTTCAGCCATACTGACAAGTCAAACTCACCAGCCTCTAGGTCACTCGGATTTCCTGCAAACATAAAAACCCGACCATGCTGCGTTTCTGGCTGTTTCCCATCCGTGTGGATTATCTTACAAGGTTTTGCTTGATAGTTGGAAGTTTCATAAGCAGCTAGCCTCCTAGCATGCTCAACACTTTCAACATCGTACGCAGCACCATCAATAGTAGCGTCCATTTCTCCATCGACAATAGCAGGATACTGGCCCCATAGTTTGCATGCGTATCCGACTATTTGTGCTGGGCGTAGTATCGGCTCGTGGTTTAGCTGCAAAATCTCCGCAAGCATTTTGGGGTCCATCAGCGTGCCATAAAAGAAGTATGGACCAGTTCGAGGTTCGGAATAATCGATAAATCGGGGTGGATTTGGCGACTGGTAAGCCCAGCCAGGTGGCGCGCTCCTCATCTTCAATACAAGCTTGGAGATCCTCGTATCTGCATTCTGGGAGCGGGAGGGAAGCGGCGGCGGGCGTGGTGGAGGAGACGTCGGCGCTTGAGTTTGAATCTGATGGACAGAATACATGTTGATACAGAAAGAATTTATTGTAGATGTGTCAAGGTAGGAGTTGGTGATGGTGAGGAAGAAGGGATTGACCGAGTCTGACCCATCACCCCATCACAGGTACAAGTTGTTGCCACACGGGACGTCACGTGCTATTTACCTCTAGGTTAGTAGTAGCTCAGGCCTATGCCGCACCACCCCGCCGCTCAATCCCAGCTGCCAGCTTATCAGCAAGTGCGAAGGCCACTTGTGTACCTAATTTGTACCTATGGCTCAGAGGCGCGGAATACAACCGGTACCAAAAACACAAAGCCAAGAAATCGAGTATCCCTTTGCTAGTAGAAGAGGAGGTTAATAATATCTTTACACTTCCTATTACTAATGAGTACTTATACGAGAATGCCTGCGCTCGTACCTTGCTCCGCGTTAAAGCCTGAAGGCATCTCTGACAAGACGTACGGTAAAGATCCTTTCCTTACGCTAGTGTCGGCGGTGCGACGCCACGATCGCTTCGCCGGCTACTTCCCCGTTCACACACTGCGGATAGTAAGAAGTCGTATGATAACTATAATCACACTGCAAATAGTAAGAAGTCGTATGATAACTATGGGGTCGTGTTAGGAATCGAGCGCAACTGTTGTTACCCCCTGTAGCTATAATGGTAGCCTGGTATAGTTTGAATAGGACGGTAAGCAATAAAAGAGCACAACTTTCCTGCGCCATACGCATGTACTCGCCTACATTTCTATACACTGTTGATTAACTTGTTCAACGCTTCTGGTTTGACCAATTGCTGTAATTATGTCCCAAGCGCCACCTCCCCCTCCACCTCCCCCCCTTCCTACACCGCGTCGCGGGCCACCGCCACCTGAAAGAGGTAAGAGAGTAAATCGCGAATTTGCCTATTGAAATTGATCGGGGATAATAACAATTATATAGGAGCTCAGCATTCAGTCGATAAGGTGCTCCCGGAATATCTAGCTGACAGCTTCGCCGTCGGCGTGGAAACTGAGTTTCTCCTCTTTCCACGATCTCGAAATTTGCATGGCAGCGGTCTACGGGATGTAGCCGTCAAAGCTGCATCCGAATACAATTTGTATCTTTCGCGCACAGGTGATGGAGAGCACCCGAAGATGCACAATGGCATTGATCAAGCCTATCACGGCTTGCAATTTGCAGAGTGGACACTCGATTCAGATTCCACGATCGAGATGCCTACCAAGGATAGCGCGCCATGTGTGTTCTATATTACTAATATCTCATGCATTTTACTGACCGTTGTATCTAATAGGGGGTTTTGAGAACATTTCTCCCATTTTCCGCGTCCATAGAGACTCCAGGTGGCGTGAGCACGTTACTAAGATGTGGTCCTTCCTGTCCGAAAACTATCAAATCACAGCCAATAAAAGCTGTGGTACTCACGTCCACGTTTCCCGAGCAAAAGGTTACAGTATTGAAGATCTCAAACGCATCTGCGCTTCCATTATTCACTTTGAGCCGGCTTTTGAAGCCCTTCTACCAGTCGACCGTCTCTCAAATGAATACGCACGGAGCAACTGGCTGGACAATCCCAACTTCGGGTATAAAAATCGAACTCGAAAAGAGAGCATCGACATTATCCAATCAGCTTCCACTATCAGAGAGATGAAGACAAGCGCAAGACCGTCATCTTGAAAAAGGTACTCCAAGCCCCATCTTGGGAATAAAGTTTCTAGAATTCCTATGCTTATCAATTCCCCTTTCATAGCGTTATAGTACTGCCCTTGGTATTATAGTGAGTTAGTAAAATCACTTTGATTGTTCAATCAAGTAAAAAGGTCTTTGATGAACCTGCACACAACTTGTGTCATGCGTGAACCCCCGAAATCGATCGACTGGTCGATTTGATCGCTTCGACTAATCGCTCCGATTTCGATATCGATCCAACGACCGGAGCGCTTGCTTTGATTGATATCGTATCGATTTCTCCAATCGATCGATTTAATCGTCAATTATCGTTGTTTATTAAGTCGCGGGTAAAGAGCTAGTGCCGTTCTAGGCCACGACGCTATCCCCACACGGAGCCCGGTTGCACTGCTGCCGCGTAAATGCAACCCCATCTACTTCCTGCTGGGGCCCGCTATATGGCGCTATCCGGGCTAGACCTATTACCTCCTTCGATCGACTGCATTGGACATGAGGGCATCGTGGGAATTATGTGTCTAAGGTATGGGTGTTTAGGGTGGTGATTGCTAATAAAGATTGACGATTAACGATTGACGCGCACGAGCCCACGTAGCCAGGGCAGCCATCACTAATTAACTACTAGGTACCTGCCTAAGGCGGGCATTTCTATCTGCTGAATTGTTTCACGGCCGTTAGCAGCCCCTCCACACCACTCCTCACCGTTACCCCGCTCCTTCAACGCAGCGTTTTGACACGACTCTTCCATCAAGACTTCAAAGACAATGGCTGCGCCTACTCGCGGCCCTAATTTCGGCCATCTTTTGAAAACCGGCCAATACTCTGACTTGACTTTAGTCTGCGGCGGTAAAGAGTTCAATGTTCACAAGATGGTGGTATGTTCGCAGTCCGAAGTTCTTGCCACGGCGATCCGAGAGCCTTTCCAAGTGAGGAAATTTGACCACGCCAGATGGGAGAAAATCTAATGGATGACAGGAATCGAAGACGGGAACTATAAGTGTAGAAGAATTTGACGCAGTCACTGTCGATAAGATGCTGGAGTTCCTGTATACGGGGGACTACGGCTCGCTAACCGCCCCCGGCTCGCTAGTTGGCCAGGTTGGGGAGACGGATGAGCCTTTGGCTAGCCCTGCAGCGGTAGAGCAAGATGACCTATTACAGCACGTACGTCTGAATTCGATTGCCGATTACTACGACATTAAACCGCTCGCCGAACTCAGCAAGGCGAAGCTTCGACTCGCATCACAAAATACATTGAATGAACCGGTATTGCTGAATGTGGCGCAAGAAGCGCTGAACAGAACTGGAGACACAACGCTGCATACTATGCTAGCTGAGGCGATTGGCACGAACATTAGAAAATTCCTGGAAACTAAACAGCTGGCTGAGATAGTGGGTGGCTTCGGCGTTGAAATTCTCCGAACAGTTGTTGCTAGGCAAGGTGAGCTGCAACGGAAGATGATAGAGCTTCAATTTCAGCTGGCTCGCCTACGGGTTGTCGAAAAAAGGTCAGCTCAAATCGTGGAAAACATCAACAGCTGCATGCGAACGTTGGGCGAAAGGAGGGAATGCCGAAACTCCAGCTGCCGGGCCGACTTTGAATGCTACATCGAACAGCGCGGCCAGCCCTATGAGCCCTTGTTCGTACTTCGCTGTGCCCAATGCCAATGCCGGCACTAGCAATCTGCACCATTGATTGCTTCTTTTGTGAAAAGGTGGACTGTATGCCAAAGGGCTAGGGTGTCTGCTGTTGCCAACTATAACACTAGGGCTGGACTTGGGTAGACAATGAGGATGCAACGCGAGAAAGTACCGGCTAGCAACGTCTGAACTCTATAGTATTTTTAGAACAACAGTATGGATCCGGAGCCAACCTGGGAAAAAAAAAAGTTTGTGCAAGCACGTCATAGAAGCACGCTGGCGCCTACATCAGTGCATGGATAAAGTTTGAGCAGATTGAACTTTGTGTAGATAGTTGCTACACAAATACCGCAGGGCGACAAAAATACAATTTTAACACGCATCCAAAGCAACACCTTGGAAATTGCGCACATTCTCGCCTGCACATGCTGGGGTGAGCGGCTAACTAGCTTGCCGGCCTCTTCCGAACCCAATTGCCTTTTCGGGCGTCGTCGATCCGATGATCTGCAATTTCAGGTCCCACAGCAAATACAGCAGATGAGACACAGATCTCAGTGTCACGGACGATTGGCTGCCGAACCAGGGACGGGTAAGCAAGACCTTGGATAGGCTACAGAAGAGGAAAAAGTGAAGTTGGGAAAGTACTATAATAACGTTTGATGTATTGTTTTGAAAATGATAATGATACCAACATATGCGCCTCCATTTTGACAGCTCTCCTTAAGTAGAGCGGGCGACGCCCTGAGCCAGCCAATCCCCGCCGTGGCGTCCGGCTACCGGAGTGTGCAAGGACTAAGAGGACGCCCCCCAAAACGCTTAGTACTCAATATTCACGCCAGTTGCCAGGGGTGAGCCAACACCCAGCGCTTTGTTGACATGGTTGTCGCCGCGCTGCTGCAGGGGAACCTTGGATCTTGTTGGCCAGTTTGAGAGGTCCGAGGAAGTCGATGGTTGCTGTAACGTAGCATGGTAACTCGGTCGTCAACCCGAATCCACTTGGTGCTACGCTAGGCCGGGTAGTTGGATCGAGTTGCACCGCATGTCCAATGACAAGGCCAACCTATACCAAATTCCACGATAGAGTTCTGGCCGATAGACAGCCCAAGCCTCGTTGCGTCCTAGCCTGGCCTGATGGATAGCTCTATGACAGCTTCAAAGTAGCTATCGAAAAAGACCGTGTCGTAATGGACACGAGTGTACCCAGAGCCTCATATTTTGTATCCCCATACCATGACAGTCAAAGGAAGAGAGCATGGGGTTTGTTAAACGAGCAGGCTGCAGCCAGACATTACTATTCTCTAGACTACACTAGTTACCAACTTTTGTATTACACCCATTTCCTGCGAGCTTGGGGTTCTTTCTCCCAATCCAGGACAAAATCCAATTTGGACACAGTTTGTGTATCCACCTTGACGACTGTTCCGTCATCAAACTCCACTGCGCTCACGAGCACGTAGAAGCCATGTCCGCTTACAGAGCGAGGACAGCAAGGGCAATGGCGGCGAAACCGGCCGAGAGACCAGCAGCACCGGCGGCGACGGGCACCGAGGTGGGGTAGGTCTGGTTGCCAGCGGCGGTCATGGAGCCCATGGTGCTGGACACGCAGGGGATGCTGGTCATCATGGTGGTCATGGCCATGGCGGTGGTGGCCGCGGCCGTGGTCGTAGCGACCGAGCCGGAGCTGCTTCCGGTGGAGGCGGAGCGCGAGCTGGAGCCGGAGGAGCCGGTAGCAGAGCCAGAGGCGGAAGACGAGCCCGAGTTAGCCTTGCAGAGAGCCTCGGCGGCGGGGACGACCTTGTCTGTTGCGCGGGTGTGTTTCTGTTAGAACAGTACATCTCAAACCAAGTATAATGCGGCCAGGGAGGGGAAGCGTACTGATGGCAACGTCGGAACCGCAGGCCTTGATGACGCAAGCGGTGGCGGCACCCTGGACGGCAGCAATGTTCTTGCAGACGCAGGGAATGTCGGTGGTCTGGCACGAGGTCTTGGACGTGATGGCCTCGTTGAGGCAGGGCATGGCGCACGAGGGGATGTCGTTGACGGTCTGGGCAGTGGCCAGGGTGAAGAGAGCGGCGGCGATAGCGAACTTCATGTTGACGGTTGTTGTTTGGAATTTTTGTTTTGGGGTTTTTGGTTGGGATTTGTTTGGTAGCAGGACAGTGTGATAAGCGAGTGTAACTGTTTTGTGCGGTGAAGGAGGAAAAGGGAAGGGGGGAGAGGGAGGGATGGGACGGAGCTTTATGTAGGGAGATGGTGGAACGGCCGCTTGTGAGGATCATAATAGCGAAATCGATAAATCATCGACTGTTCCCGTCCCCAGTCGGCGCCCTCCCACGGGGGGGTCTGGAGCGAGAGCCATGTTGGTTTTTTTCTGGGTATTTCAATGTGCCAACTCCAGCATACGACCGAGATTGAGTTGCTGGAGTGGGTGTGTGAGTATGGCGTCCGGGGTGTGTGTGCAATAATATCGAGCAAGCTCCCCAGATATAGTAGAGCTTGTTTTGCATCGAGACGTGGCGCTACCGACCACTAGGGACACTTTCTCGGCACAAAACAAGTTGGCAAACAGCGCTTTTCATCCCAGTCGCTTCAGTAACAAGCCCCCACCCCCCCGTCAACGACTCCACGAGTTGGCCGGGCTGTCGGACCACACTCACCGCGCGGTCGTCCGCCGAGCAAGGGGGGAGGGGGGAAGCCGGGTGAGGAAACTCTCTCCCCCCAACATCAATTCCTTGCTGAGAGCCGGTGGGGCGGACAAGTCTTGTGCGACCTCGCAAGTGCTCTTCGTTACATGTTGTCGTTTATCCGATACTCAAGTAAGACAAGTGTAAGAGAAGACGCGGGAATGCGCAAGTAGTCCAGCGCATCGTGTAAGTCGGGCGGGCGGGCAGACTCGTCGGTGCAACCAACACTTCTCGCGGCCGAACTACAGCGTGCAGAATTTTCATTTGCCTCTTTGTTGAACCAATTTATAACTAGTTTTTGTTGGCCGCCAGTAAGCGCATGTTTCGCAGCAGAGTTCGCGGCCAAACAGAAGCCACCATCTCGCTCTCCGCCTCGGCTGTCATGTCAACATCCAAGTTTGCCCCAGAATCGCAGAGCCGTCCTTGGGGAACTGGTCGAGACGGCGAAACCAGAGGGGCCCCAATTACATAATGGAGATTGGCTGTCCACAACCCCATTCCCCGCCTGTGGATAGGGACAAGTTGTCCATATCTGACCCTATATCGGAAAGACTTGGTCTGGATGCGTCAAGCGTCAAGTCCGCGGCCCGTCTTTCTCCGCTTGAGTCTTGTGCAAGTTTTGGTTCTTCTTCTCCAAACTCAACCATGAGAACCTCTCTGTAGTTGGTCCGCAGCTACATACTTCACTCGCGCCGTCCATTCAACTACCAACTAGTATACCCTGACGCGCGGCGATGCTCCGGTGATGGCGGCAGCCCACTTTCGGTGGCCTGACTTCCGGCTGGCCCCTGTCCGAAGACCGGGAGGGTGGGCAGGGGCGGAAAAAGACATTTTGAATGCCATCACCGTCGTTTCTTATTCTTTATCCCGGTCGGTCGGCGTCGAACTGGTGATGGCATGCCGACGACAGCAGGGGGGAACCTGCATCGCTTCTGCATATCACGAAAGTGAAGGTTCCTGAGACGCCGCAATCTAACCTCCCGCGCCCGCCGAGAACAACAACTTCTTCCTTTAACTCCTGCCCAGCGGCGGGGCCAAGCCAATGCAGGTACTATTGAACAGTACTCAAGGTCTAATTCCAGACCAGCAGATGTGGATCTACATTTTGCTGCTATCTAACAGGTACGTACCAGTCCAACCCCCGCCCCCCCCGGCTCAATACGGCCGGAGCTATAATAGCGTTCGGCCCTGTCGGCTCCTCTGGCCGGGCCTTGACTATTTATCAACCCACTGCACCAATGATATGGGCGGGGACCCTGGCAGTGGGCAAGAGGGCGGACTTTGTGGCGGTGGACATGGAGCTGGCGGTGGATTGGGTAATATTACCTTTACTTGAGGCGTACACAAATCTGCAATGCAGTAGATAGTAAGAAATTAAATCATACCCTGAGGACTATCTTGACGACTCTTACAAAATAACCTGCCATCTACACGTACGCGAGGGTTTGTTTCGCTCTGTGGGTTGCTTCTTGGGCCGGCGCACCCAGGCTCAGCTCTATCATGGCAAGTCCAAAAAAAAGGAGTCGTTGACACCCGCTCGCCCAACCAATCAAACATTCTTGATCTCGGGAACCGCTGTGGGGGAATGCGCAGGTGTCTTATTTCCATTCTCATGGGGCTCACCCGGAGCCTCGTCGGCTTTCGCCACGGCCGAACCTGTCACGGCCTTGCCGCCAGGTGGATGGATTGTCTGGTCCTTGAGGCGATAGAAAATGGGCCTGAAATGCCTTATCATGGAGATCTCGGCAATAATGATCGGCTTTGGTCCCATCTGCTGTATGATTGTCGTGAAATTTGCCGTCGCCCACTCCAGCTCCGTCCCGCGGGGCATCACGGTGAGTTCGCCGAGCGTCCTAAGATCCAGGCCCTCTAGGACTTGCAGTGCAATGTCGGCCACGACGGCACGCTTCACGATCCAGCTCATCTCCTGAGATATTGTATCCGGGTATAGCCAGGGGACCTCACCCATCGCGTCAACGATACGGCGCAGATCTCGGCTGGCGCTTTCGCTCACAATCGGCTTGGCCACCCGGATGGCCGCTTTCAGCACGTCAGCCAGCCAGCCGGCCGCCGACTCGACGTTCTTCTGGTCGACATTGTGCACGAACCGCGCTGGCATCCTGGACAGCCTCCAGAGCAGCTCGTCGCCGCGTTGTTTGAAGTTTACCGGTACAAGGTCCTTCAGCTTCAGGAACTCCTGGCCCAAGGGCTTCACCTCTGGGTTCGCGCTGACGTCTTTCTGCCACTGGCTGACTGCGAGCCGGAAGCCAAAGTCGTCGAAGATTGGGCTGAGCTGGGCCAGTAGATGGGGCTCGCTCAGGATGTCGAAGGGCAGCCAGCTGAGGTGGTGGACCCAGTAGTCCTGCATCTTGAGCATGATCTTTTCCCTCCCCTCAGATGGAGTGAGTCGCATGACACACTGGAAGGCCGCCTCGGCGAGCTGTGCACGACAGGCGCAGGCGTAGAATAATTCGGTCGGGGGATAATCGGACTTTTCTTGGCTTGCAGCCTCAGCAGTTGCAGAAAGGAGACCGATCATGCCGCCAGCGATGGTGCCCATGAGCCATCCGACGGGCCCTAGAGTAAGGTTTTCCCCTCCCCCGGGTGGGTAGAGACCGATTTCCTTAACACGGTTGAGCATGGCCCAGAAATCATTTATGCCGCCGCTTCTGCTGCTGCTGCTGAATTCGGTATAATAGGAATCCAGTTGCGACTCGGGGTGGGCAAACTTTGGCTGAAAGCCGCCCAGGCGATAAGGCTCCTCCCTCTTGCTGAGCTCAACGCGCTTGATAAACTCTTCATAATTGTTCCCATACTCGCCACCGATGAGGCTTCCAGAGTTTACCTTTTCCCCCGTTCCACCATAGCAGTGCGTGCCAATGACCACCGTGCCGGTATGATCGCTGAAAAGAATAGGGGCTCCCGATTGACCTATAAATGCGCAGAGACGCGCAGTTAGCGCTCGAACAACAACCATTTTTGCTCCAATAAGAATAACAAGAAAGACTCCTACCTCCATATATATCCATGTTATACTCGATCATGTGGTTGGCGCTCTTGTGAAGGTCATAGTTTGCTTTCTGCCGCGCCTCGCACATCCACAAACTAGTTTCGCCGACAAAAGTTTCCAGATGCTCATCACCTGGATAACCAACGACGATAATAGTGCCCTCTTTTTTAGCAGTCGGTGTTTGTATATACTTGAACAGTCTGAGATTTCCTGCAAACGGTTTATCCACCTGAATAAGTGCTAGGTCGCGGCGGTCTCGGTCGCTATGCTGCCGAAGCCAGGACTTGGTGGTCACAACGTTGAGCGCGCTGCGGTACTGTTCGCTCGACTCGTCGATAAATGAGCCCCCGCGATAGCCGACCCAGCACTGTATGTGTGACGCCTGACATCTATGGGCCGCGCTGAAGACGTTGCGGCCGGCTGTGATGACGAGATCCTCACGCACTAGCCAGCCAGTGCCTAAAGTCCACGGCGCCGTCCTTTCGCCTCCCCAACGGCTTTCAATCCTGACAATGGCTGGAATACCGGGTTAACACAAGGCATTCGAATGTCAGCTGCCTAGTACTCTTAGGCGCGTCGAGGGGCGAACTCACAGCGATACTTGCCGCCATCTTGAAAATCTTCTAGATCAACAGGCGTGCGCTTATCCTCCTGGTTAAAACTGGCCTCTGTAGCGCGGATGCCATCGTCTCCGTGAATAGTGTACTTGATTGACTCCTGTTTCTGGTCGCCTACCAGAGACCAAGTGACGAGTCCGTCGGATGCCAGCGGTGGTTCTGGTGCGGGCTTGTTGGGCTTGGCCGACTTGCCGTCTTCCGTTGCTGCCGCTCCTAGTTCAAGATGGCTGGTTCCGCTTATGTCTGGGATCATTGTGAAAAGTGAGGTTTATTTGTAGAAGCGAAGGAAGTAGTGATTTTTGGTTGGTGCTTGAAGAAAAAGAAGAGAGAAACAATTGTTTTTGGACTTTGAATTCCTCCAAGGGTGTGATTGACGCGTGCTAGTCTTGGAAGCGGTTGTCGATATTTGTCCTGGTGAGACTGGACAGGGCGTCACTTTTTGTGTCTCCCAGAGATTGGCGAGAGTGCTTTGGGCGCTGGTAAATTCGTTCAAACTTCTCTGGCAATCAGGCCTCAATTTCACCTCCCGTACGGTGCATGATTTCAGCCCGAACCTAAAGCAGCACACGCCGAAAACGAGTCGCATGTCTGACTTCTATTGATCTTGGCAGACCGGGCTTAGTCGATGACGGATCTTCGGTCGGCAATTCACTTACCGGATCGCGCCACGCCGAACAAGCCGTTCCTGCTAGTTAATCGGGCAGATCGTGGCGTTCGCTGAACTGCGGGGAACTGTGGCACCTCGTCAGCGATTCCTGGCTGCCCAATGTCGCGTCTTTGCTCTTCGTCTCCAGCAGAGCGTTCTCTGTCGGGCACTGGATGCTGAGTGACAGGTCCCTCGGCCAGTACCACTTCCTGTACTACACATAGATTCTACTCTTCCTCCGACATGTTTTCATTCCCAAGCTAGGTGGCTGGCTGAAATACTTGAGCTGTCAGTTTGTCGCGGCTGCAGCTAAGACATGCGTTGCCTGCCCATTTGAACTCACTATCCGGACACGTTTGTGGACAAGTTGGTATACTTCCCCTCACCACTTGTTGCGGCGGCTAGAAGAAGTTCACTGCGTGCTGCCGGGAGGTTCCTGCGAGAGGGTGCTTTGGGCATCCGCCCGAATCGGGTGCCAACGGCCCGACACTGGACATTGATGCTGATGCCTCTTGCCTTCTTTTCTCACGGTGCTCGTTCTCCATATCTCACTCATCTTGTTCATACACACGCATCCAGGCATAAACGGCTGTGTAGCATCAAAGGGGAGGAGGCGAGGTCATCACGAGCCGGGCACGGGAACACGAGCAAAGCAAGACGTATGACCTGAATGAATGTGATGATGAAGCGAAGAAGATCTAGGGTGATGTGCGTGGCCGGCATGCATAGTGAGGGTCTTGTGGCTGAGTCTCGTGTGGCTGAGGCAGGAGAGGGGCTTCCTGGTTGCCTCCTACGTTCCTGATTGATTGTATTTGCGAAATACAAAACGACCACCATCTACGAAACCGACCGAGCGATGGAACACTTTCGTGCATTTGTCATAAATTTCCAAAGCATACAAAGCATGGGCATCATGGAATCATGTCAATTTTTTTTTGTTTGCTTTAACTATTTTGGCATAAATTCATCACATTACTTTACAGACGAGGCTTGCTGGCAACATCGACGTCGAAGCGATCGAGGTTCATCACCTTATCCCAAGCAGCGACAAAGTCCTTGACAAACTTCTGGGAATTGTCGGCCTGGGCATAGACCTCACCGAGAGCGCGAAGCTCAGCGTGCGAGCCAAAGATGAGGTCGACGCGCGTGGCAGTCCACTTCTGCTCGCCAGACTTGCGGTCGCTGCCCTTGTAGACACCAGACTGGGGCTGAATGGGCTCCCAGACAGTGTTCATGTCGAGGAGATTCGTGAAGAAGTCGTTGCTCAGGGTACCAGGGCGCGAGGTAAGAACACCATGGGAAGAGCCGTCGTAGTTGGTATTGATGGTACGGAGACCGCCAACGAGGACGGCGAGCTCAGGAGGAGTAAGAGTGAGCAGATGAGCGCGGTCAACCAGCCAATGCTCCAGGCGTTCGATGGAACCATTACCGGCGTAGTTGCGGAAACCATCGGTAATGGGCTCGAGGTAGTTGTTGGACTCAATGTCCGTCTGCTCCGCCGTGGCATCCATGCGACCAGGGGTGAAGGGGACAGTCACGTCGACACCAGCACCCTTGGCAGCCTGCTCGACACCAGCAGCACCGGCGAGGACGATGAGATCAGCAATCGAAACACGCTTGCCGCCGCTCTGCGAGTCGTTGAACTTCTTCTGAATAGTCTCGAGCTGGCCAAGAACCTCGGAGAGCTGGGCGGGGTTGTTGACCTCCCAGTCCTTCATGGGGGCGAGACGGATGCGAGCACCGTTGGCACCACCACGCTTGTCGCTACCACGGAAAGTAGCGGCAGATGCCCAGGCCGTGGAGACGAGCTTCGAAGTGCTGAGGCCAGTGTCAAGAATGGCCTTCTTGAGGGCGGCAACGTCGTTGCTGTCGATGACGGCGTGGTTAAGAGTAGGAATAGGGTCCTGCCAGAGCAGATCCTCAGAGGGAACCTCGGGGCCGAGGTAGAGGGCCTTGGGGCCGAGATCACGGTGCAGCAGCTTGAACCAAGCACGGGCAAAAGCATCAGCAAACTGGTCGGGGTTCTCGAGGAAGCGGCGAGAAATCTTCTCGTAAGCCGGATCCACGCGGAGCGACAAGTCAGTCGTCAGCATCTTGGGGAGATGCTTCTTGCTAGGGTCGAAAGCGTCGGGGATGAAGGGCTCGGTGTTCTTGGCAACCCACTGAGGAGCGCCAGCAGGGCTCTTGGTGAGCTCCCACTCGAACTTGAAGAGGTACTCGAAAAACTGGTTGCTCCACTTGGTAGGAGTCGAGGTCCAGGTAACTTCGAGACCAGAGGTGATGGCATGAGTGCCCTTGCCAGTGTTGTAGGCATTCTTCCATCCAAAGCCCTGCTGTTCGATATCAGCACCAGCAGGCTCAGCGCCAACGTTGCTGTCGGGGGCAGCACCGTGGGTCTTGCCAAATGTGTGGCCACCAGCAATGAGAGCGACAGTCTCCTCGTCGTTCATAGCCATGCGACCGAAGGTGGTGCGGATATCGTGGGCAGCGGCAACGGGGTCTTCAACACCGGGGTTGACGTAGATGAGACCTGCGTATTGTTAGCATAACTGGCATCATTGACGTAGTATGGCAGACTGCTACGGAAGACTTACCCATGATCTGAGCACCAAGAGGCTTCTCAAGACTCTCGGGGTCACGCTTGCCAGAAGAGTCCTTGCTGTAACGGTGGCTGTCGGTCATCCACTCGGGCTCGGAACCCCAGTAGACGGCCTCGTCAGACTCCCAGGTGTCGGCACGGCCGCCGGCGAAGCCAAAAGTCTTGAAGCCCATGGACTCGAGGGCAACGTTGCCAGCGAGGACAAGCAGGTCAGCCCAGCTGATCTTGTTGCCGTACTTCTGCTTGATGGGCCAGAGAAGACGACGGGCCTTGTCGAGATTACCGTTGTCGGGCCAGCTGGAAGCTGTGTCAGTGGGTGTGCACGGCAAAATGGATATGTGGTCTTGATTGCCTACCTGTTGAGGGGAGCAAAGCGCTGCTGGCCCTCGCCACCGCCACCGCGGCCATCAAAGACGCGGTAGGTACCGGCAGCGTGCCAGCTCATGCGGATGAAGAAACCGCCATAGTGACCGAAGTCGGCAGGCCACCAGTCCTGGGAGTCGGTCATGAGAGCGTGGAGGTCCTTCTTGAGGGCATTGTAGTCGAGAGACTTGAAGGCAGCGGCGTAGTCGAAGTCGGGGCCGAGGGGGTTGCTGGAGGGGTTGTGCTGGCGGAGAATGTTGAGCTTGACAGCATTGGGCCACCTAGGGAGGGTGTGTGTTAACAGTTGTGCTTGTAGCTAAGATGCAGCCATTGCGTAGTTGAAGGGGGGAGGTGTTCAATGCTGAAGCTGGTACCGGAGACACAGCCGTACAAAAGGGCGGTGGTGATGCACACAGGATGACTTACCAGTCGGGGTTCTTTCTACCAGTGTCGGCAGTGTGCACGACGGGGCACTTGCCAGTGCTTTGCTGTGCCATTTTCTTGCGAGGACTTTGATCGTCGGTGGAAATATCTCTCTTGTGGGAGAGGGGAATCTTGAAATCGGATGACATGGGAGGAGGAAGAGGAGGGGGACGACGGGATGGGTGGCTTTTTGGGAAGAAATACAAACTAGTCAAGAGGGAGGAGGGGGGCAGGAGGAGGAAGCTTGGAGGAAGCTTGGCCGAGTTGATGGAGCGGGGCAACACGGCACTCGGAGCAAGACGCCGGTTGGGAATTGCAGGTCCTCCCCTCTGTCAGGTGCTTGCGTTTTTAGGCGTGTTTAGTCGTTAAAAGTGGCGGATCGACTTCGAGTTACAGGGCATACCCCGCGCTAAAACGCCCTGGAAGAGCCATGACGAATTCAGAATGCCCCGCCTCTGATTCGCGGGCTTCTGCTGCAAAATAGCTGCCACCTTGTTGGCTGGCTTACCAACTTGCCCAGAAAAAAATGTGGGTGCCCACGCGGCCCACGCAAACGCCCCTCCCTACAACAACCAAGCGTTACTGTTTCCGACATCACCACTTTTCACGCCGTCGCCTGCTCTGCCCCGCGGGCACCGTGAAAAGCTCCCTGGGTCTTTCTTTCATTTTGTATTTCAAATACCAGCTCCCTCTCGGTCGCCCACGGGGGTTCCGCCTCCGTTGTCGGCCGCTGTTCGGCATTCGGCCAACATGACTGACTGATGTTGTCACTCACTTCATTGCACCCATCGCCGCACTGGGGCAAGGACCTGCAACCTACATATGCGCCGAATTGGCCCTCCCGCCCCTGTGGCCGCTTGGCACCAGGCGTGAAAAGAAGCATGTCATCAGTCCCTCCCCTACAACCCTGGATTGTCGGTTCCTGCCAATCGCCGCCACCGCCCTACCGAACCTGGCGCCTGTCTTCTGCCCGCCCCGATGCCATCATCGCCACTCATCTCTCGGTTTTAGGTCGGACGCGGCCGTTTAGCCTTTGGTCATCGGTATGTACCGCTCCGTGCGTGGAGCCGGTTCATTTTCTAGGTACTTGTTATGGGTTTGGCATGTTAGGCGTGCTGCAACCGCGCTGGCCATTGTACGCCACAGACAAGAATATCTGATTGACCCACCACGTCGTAGTGCTACTTCTTCGATTCCACCGTTCGCTTTGATTCCTACATGGACGGCCTGGATGCACGATTCCGGGTCCTTGAGTTGTCCCGTCCAACCGCCTTCCCCAGCAAATTAACCAACCAACCAATTGCAGTCCTACTTTATTGTAAGCAGCTGCTATATATGGCGCATTGCCCTGCTCGGGCTCCTCCTCGCCAGTTGTCGTCCACAGTTCCGCGCTGATCTTGTACAGCTGTCACACCACTGCGCCAGAGTACTCGTCCACCGAACTACCCCTCTTTGCGGCGGTGACACAACGAAGCTCAACTATTGCGCCAGCTTACGCAGCGCGCATACCTAGTAAGGCATTAGACTCAATTCTATTTTACCGCAACAGTCGACAACAATTCTCCTGCCATCTAGCATCAATTCCTATACTTGCTTCTGCCGCTTGGAGCCATCGCGCGGCCAAAGAACAATGCTCACGAACTTGACAACTGCGGGGTAATTTAGCGCGCTCCCACATGGCGACCAGACACAATAAGGTCCGTACTTTGATACCGCTGCGGTCACCATCACTGCAAAAACACCCAGAATAGCTAGGAAGTTCTCCCTCTCCAACGATTAACTTCACTTTCCATGCCTGTCCTTCCGCCCACGGCAGTCGTCGCATTTATTAGACCAAACCCTCCCTGTACGTGGGTCGAAGCAAAGCCGGAGAGCGATCCAATCCTTAAACGCTTTACATTTTTCCGAGGCGGAATCTCCGGTTCCGTGCGTTTATCCTTGCGGCCTAGGTCCGACATTTCCAGTGAACCTCAATCGTCGCACACGGAACGTTCCGACTTACATCCCAAGAATATGTAGTCGCGCCCATGTCTACAGCGCATTGGACAGACTATTTTAATTATTGGATGAAGTCACGGTAAAGGCCAAACCCACCTCACCCGCCATCTCGCAGGCGTCTGTCAAATGTCTTTCGTAACTTATCAGATCAAAACGACTCCCAAGAGAATACCGCCCAATATAACATCACCCTGAACACACACCTCATAAACCGCTTTGTTACGGATACACGACCAACGCTTGATAGGGTAGCTAATCGAGTACCGCCTCAGTCTGCTAGAGCACGCTCTTAGCTATGTTCTTTTCGCCAGTTTCTTTCTCAATTATTATCTTCATCATGGACAGTGCTCAATTTGGAATCAAATGCTCTCGTGGTACGAGTTATTAAGCAGGGTCCAATGCCCACCCTCCCCCCTCCCCGATGGCCCCGGCGCCGCGAAGCGTAGACTCGTGCTCTCCCTCGGGGTAGATGCAGTTCTGGCCTCGCCGTAGTACACAGCCAAGTAGTCTTCTCTGCATCTACGATGGCGCTTACGTCTGGCCTGACTGCCGTGGGGCAAAAGTGAATTAAGCATAATTTCAAACCTCAGCCTTTTCAAGTCGCTATAGAGCCGGCGCCAGTTCGCACAGGCTGCACAGGGGCCCTCAAGCGTTGCCGCAGATCGCAAGCTGCGCCAACCACAAGGGTTTAGCCTTGAGCCAATGGGGGAGGATCCTGAGACCGTTATAGGAACCCCGCCATGGAGCGCTTCACGCAGGATTTGGAAGGCTTCTGCCTCCATCTCGTCAAGCGAGGCGGGCCGACTGCATGCTTCGCTCGCAAGCGTGAGCTCCTGCTGGGGGCATACGATGATGGCTGTGGGCGGCCGCGAATGACGACAGTGATGTTGTGTCGAGCAATGGACAAGTTTATTTTGTCCTGAACCATTGTAGGCAACGGATCCATAGGATAGCCTCGTTGGCGGCGCGACTTGAGAGGCGCAGACAGCACACTGCATCAAGCGAGGCGCAGATGCGAAATGGTGCGTTGGAGGAGCTCGACGCTCAAGTTGAGAAGAGTTGGTATCATTTTGCGCGTCTTGCGATATGGTTTGGTCGTTTGTGCAATGCTCCTCGCCACTTGCCATATTCGTGGGAGCGGCGATCCTTCGTGTGCGTTTGCGCCACTGGAAGCCCATAAAAAAGCCAACACAAAACGGCGGCTCCCACTGTAATTGTTCCCTGCCCTGCAGAATCCATCACCACGACCAAAAAAGCAAGTGCTTCGCATCCCCGAATTGTTCATCCGAGTTTGCTGCGAGTCTACACAGTTCCGGCATATTCGGCAACGCTACCTCTTTAGCTGCGTCGCCATCCCACTTCTACCCGCCCCATCCAAGTTCATGGCGTGCTTTCTGGGAACGAAACGACCGTTTTTTTCGAGCAAGATTTCACGTTGACTGGTGGGGATCAGAACAAGGTTAAACGCTAGCGGTCCATTGTCCGAATTCAGAGCCGCTACAAAGCGAAATTAGTACGTTCATTTGTCACCCAACGTCCGTGGAAACGGCCTGGAGAAAACTTTTCTGGCGCGTTCGCGATTCAAGAAACTTTTTGCATTATTTAGCTCAAAGCTGGAAAATCTCACGATGGGCCTCCACCAGTAGTTTAAATATATAGGTGTAGACACACGCGGCTGTAATGACCCGTGGTAAATTCGGCCGTTCAATCGCATCCCGACCAACAACCGCTTCACCATGGCCAACTCTCGCATCTGGGAATCTCTACAGGTTGGCAACCTGACGCTAGCGCACCGCGTCGTCATGGCGCCCCTGACGCGGTACCGCAACGACGACGAGCACGCGCCGCTCGACATCATGACGCAGTACTACAGCGACCGCGCCTGCGTCCCCGGCAGCCTCGTCATCACCGAAGCGACTGGCGTGTCCGCCGCGGCCGAAGCCCGCCCGTGGCTGCCGGGCATCACCACGGCGGCGCAAATCGCCGGCTGGGCGCGCATCTACGCCGCCGTGCACGCGCGCGGCAGCTTCGTCTTCCAGCAGCTGTGGGACCTCGGCCGCGGCGCGGACCCGGCGTACGTACAAGGCCGCGGGCACGCGTACGCATCGAGCGGCGACGTGCAGCTGGCCGGACGCCCGGTACCGCCAACGCCGCTGGGCGAGGATGACATTTGGCGCAAAGTGGCCGACTTTCGCCAGGCAGCGCGGAATGTGGTCGACGCTGGCGGAGACGGCGTCGAGATCCACGGCGCGCACGGGTACCTCATCGACCAATTCACGCGCGATAGCGTCAACAACCGAAATGATGCATGGGGCGGCTCCGTGGAGGGCCGCAGCCGGTTCCTGCTCGAGGTGGTCAAGGCCGTCGTGGACGAGATTGGCGCAGAGCGCACGGCTCTTCGGCTAAGTCCGTTTGCGCTGCATCAGGACTCGTACTCGTCGGATACGTGGGAGCAAACGGGGCACGTCGTCCGCACGCTCAAGGCGCGCGGGTACAAGCTCGCCTACCTGTCCCTGGTTGAGCCCCGCGGTGATCCGTCCCAGCTGGACGTTGTGACGCCGGACCCGTCCCGCCCGCAGCCCTTCACAAAGCAGCCGCAGTCGCTTGACTTCATCTTTGACGAGTGGGACAGCGTCTCGCCGATTTTTGTGGCGGGCAACTACAAGCAGGACACGGCGGCCCAGACGCTCGACGGGCCGTACAAGGGCCGCGAGGTTGCCATTGCGTTTGGGAGACCGTACATTTCGAACCCGGATCTGGTGTTTCGGCTGAAGCACAACGTGCGCCGTATAATAGAGATACCTTTTATAACGAAAAGGATCCCATAGGGTACAATGATTACCCCTTCTCGCAAGAGGCAATCAGCGCCGGACTAGCCAAAGCTTAGATGAGATAACGATGACTGAATGGAAAACACCCCAAATAACGCACGAGCGATTCAAGGACAGTTTCTTCTCTTCAGCGAAATGGCGGGCTTTCCACTAGGTTTGCAGCCGCCCACTGAGCGCGAAGCTGCTCGGCTTCATGGTCGAACGGGATTCCGGTTTGCCATGTAATGTTTTGGAGGCATGCAAGAATGGCATGCTGCTGCGCAAAATGCGTAATGTCTCTTGCAGTGTATAGGATAGAGCTAATGACAATCGGATCCCACTGCTCGGGAAAGTCATTTGACGTGACAATGCCTGCAATGGCCCTCGCATGCCAGATAGGGGATGTCGAATGCTGACGTCGGCCAGGGATGTTGAGAAGTCGGGGCTTGTATTGCAATAAGAGTAGTGCAGTAATATGATAGAAAATGGCTGCCTGCACAGCAATGGCGCTAGAGTAGAGGTGTATCGGGAATGAAGCCGCATTCGTGGGGTCAATTCGACTTACCTCGATGCTACCGACATCGACTAGTGATTGGATCTCCACGGGCCGCGTATCGTACCACGCTTGGCTACGTAGCCAGAGACTCTGCCAGTTTGGAGGAGCACCCGATATTGAGAATGCGGCAGGGTTGTCGGGGCTACCTCGCGCTGTCTCGAGGTCGTCAGCACTTCGTCGGAAGACAAAGTGAAGAGTTGCCGTGAGATGATGGAGCGCCCAGTTATATGGTGAGGCCAATATCAAGTGGTCTCTAGAAGTAGCATTGTGTTGCAGCAAGTATAAATCTGGAGTCGTCATCGGCGGCGCGCATGTCAATATCGATGCTGCCAAATCTATGGCAGTCAGACAGACACTGTGCGAACGGAGAAAATACAAAATGACATACCGATACGAGACTGCTGACACACGAGAGTTTTGAAAGGCTCTTGAAAACTACAATGAGTGCCTTGCTGAAATACAAACCGTTTCCAAGCACGAGTGCCAGAACACAGGGTCTCGGCAAGCTTGATGAGAGCATCGGCGAGGGGTTGCAGCTCCGGGGCGACATCAGACAGCTCAGTCCGGGCAGTGTGTGCACGTGTGATGTTGTAGTCCCCTCGAAGATGTGACGACGCCAGCTCGACGAGCAGAGTCTGCACAGGTTCACATTTCTGCGCCGTTTGCATCATGGCAACACCAAAAGCGCTGTCTGGATCGCCAGCCTCTAGCCACGGCGCAGTGCGATAGCGGAACTGGCGCAGTAAGGCAATGTCCCTCTGAGACGCCTCTGTAAGCTCAATGTCAAAGTAGGACTCCCAGTCGGAGCGGGTTGTATGGTGATGATGCGTCAGAGTCCGCGAGGACGAGGAGGCGGGCAGTTGCCAACAAACGCTCGGGCGCGGAGAGTGCCGTGCGAATGCCGTGCCTCGAGTTTCTGAACTCGGCGCTGCTTTCTCTGGAGAGGGGTCATTCGTCACAAACTAGGGAAAAGCTGGGTGTCAGCTGGTCAAGCGAGATTCTGGGTGAAGCAACAGGTATGTACAATGATTTCTGCGTAGGTGCCGGATTGGGGATCTGAACCGTTGACGTATTTGCAGGCAACTTTCCGCGACTCGCAGCCAGTGCATTGTGGTTTCTTTTCGTCACCTAGAAAGCCATTTGTTAGAGTCTGGAAAGATAAAACACATAGGCCACGTCGTGTACATTTTCGACGTCGCTGGCGACACGCGACACACCCAGTCTTGACCCGGCGCTTTTCCAGGGGCGTGTTGCGCCTCACTGGCATGATGGCACTGTCCCAGGCACTGCAACGGTATTGTGCTGCTTGGGAAACTCGATATTAGGAATAAGGAAGTTAAGAGAGGTGGGAATGGCACGACCTCCCGACTTGTACCGTTTCTGGGTAAGTTTTATGATGGAGGGAAGTTGGTGCCGTCACCAATGTCACGAAACTCCACTGAATATGCCACTGGGGCGGCTAGTTAATGTAGCTGCATGTACTGGTGGGACAATACGCCGTATGCTGGCAATTTTTAAGATAATGGTTACATTCACATTTCTCCCTATATTTACTGCCGACCGCATGAGTACAAATCGCGTCCTGTTCAAACGTGCTCAACCACAGCGACAGATCCGGCTTTGTCGTGCACCATGCCATGGCCCTCGAGGAGCGCCGTCAGGCCAACCTCCTCCTGCGCTGCGAGTAACATCTCAGCATCCCGCGCACCAGTGTGACTGTTGAAGACGCGATCCATCTCTTCCAGACTCGCGTTCTTGGTCTCGGGCAGACATAGCCAGACCCACAGCATACCCGCGGCCAGGAATACGGCAAAGAAGATGTACGTGCCCCAGGCCCAGGCCTCGAGCATCGGCGGCACAAAAAAGGCAATGGCGAAGTTGTTGAGCCAGTTGCTGAAGGCGCCGATGGAGCTGCCCTTTGCACGAATAGAAAGAGGGAAGATTTCGGCGACAATGGTCCAGGAGACGGGACCCCAGGTGGCGCCAAAGCCGGCAATGTAGACCCAGATGAGTGCTGGATGAACAGTCAGTTTTGCAAAGCCAATGAACGAAGTAATCATATAGAAAGAACGCACCGACAGCTACCCAGCCTTCTGTAGCATGCGAGGTCCAGTCATGCCTGAATTTGGCCACGATGATGCCCACAATGACCATGGAAATCCCCATGACTATCGATCCCACAATCAACATTGGCTTTCGGCCAACTCTGTCAATTATAAACTGGGGCAAATGTTAGCTTCCGAATTTAGGGATTACCCCGCAAAACCCCCACAACCAAAAAAAAAAGAAAACTAACCATGGCAGGGATCGTGCTGGCCATAAACACCACGCCCGTGACGCCAGTTGCCAACAACGCCGTCGTTCCAGACGTCAAACCAAGGCTGTGGAAAATGGTCGGACAGTAGTAGACTATAGCATCAATGCCACTCCATTGCTGCGCTCCCATAGTAAGAAATCCCGTCGAAATTCTCTTGAAATTATCACGAGTTCTGAAGCAGTTGATATACTGGGCGATCTGCTCCTTGAAGGCGCTTTGCTGGCTCACGTCGGCAAGTTTTGGAAAATCTCTGGCAAAGGCCTTCTTCTCAAAGACAGCCTCTGCTTTAATTTCCAAGAATTCGAGTTGCACGAGCTTGTCGTCCATGGGCAGTTTCCTCATCCAGGCCAGCGTCGCCTTGGCCTCCTCATCGCGTCCCACTTTGACCAGCCATCGAGGCGAGTAGGGCATAAACCAGATTCCAATTGCTAGAGCAGCTGCTGGGATTCCCTGAATAATGGACGGCAGTCTCCATGCCATGTCAGACTGGGACTCGCCGGTGCCGCCGATGTAGTTGCTGGCGTAGCCGATCCAGAAGGAGAGCATGATGCCAAGAATGGTGGCAAATTGGTAAAACGAGACGAGGAAGCCGCGCATCTCTGGGAGCGAAAGCTCGGCATTGTACAGCGGCGCAACGCCACTGAAGAGGCCAACACCAATACCGGTGAAGAAACGGCCGGCGTAGAGCAGAGACGGCGCACCAGCCTTGGCTCCAATGTAGAGGTAGCTACCCAAGATGACCCAGAGGCAAGCAACAAACATGGTGCGCTTTCGGGAAATGAGCTCGCTGAGAATACCAGCAGAGAGGGAGCCCACAATACCTCCGAGCTGGAGAATGGAAGTCAACCAACCTGTGGCGGAAGAGGAGTTGACAACCGAGGGGAAATTGGAAGTGAAGCGCGTCATGACGAGCGACTGGCCCAGGACACCTTGCTGGTAGCCATACTCAAAGCCACCGAGACTATCCGTCAAGTCAGCAAACTATACTTTGGGCAGCAAGTGATGGAAACGGTACGTACGACGCAAATAGCGCGATGAAGACAACTTTGGGATTGGAGCAAATGGACTGCCACAGGGTCTTCTTGCCCGCGAGGGGCCTCTGAGCCGACTGCATGATGTCTTGGGAGGCAGTCTACAGTGGTACGATTTTGTAGATGTGATGTAGCTTCGAGTGACGGTCCCATCAGCAACGGTCAGGGCATTGGCCTATATATACCAAAAACACGGACGCTACCCCCCGAATTCCTCCACACCCCAGGTTTATTGATCCCCAGAATTCATCTGAGCTCAGAAAACCTGATCCGCGCACGACTAGTAGAAAAAATAGACCAGCAATATCAGTTGCGAAGCCCAGACTGGCCAGCATTAAGCGCCGCTAGACCGAATTCGGGGGCCGTAGCCTACGGCCCCCCTCTTTGGCAAAATTGGCAGTCCAGACTCTTCATCCTGACTCAACATTGATTAATTGACGGGTTATTATTCAAGGAATGGTTCGCGATTTCTACCAGCTCGGCTGATTTTATGCTGGACACGGCCATGCTGGCGCCAATGACGGCGAAGCGACGCACGCCAATCTGTGACAATGGATGAACCAGTCGTAGGCCCGAGCCCATCCCAGGAGATTTCCTTTTTGTCGCCCGAGTCCTTGTCCACTCTCGACGACTACTCCAAGAACCCGCGGTTCATACAGCTGCAGGAAGAACTACGCGGCGTGTTGTTCGCGCGTGCTTCCGGCGAGAATGCCCTCACAGACGACGCGCCCGACCCTTCTGGCGAGGCCGCCGAGGACGACACCTCACAGCCGGAGCCTAAACACGGCTTTGACTTTGGTCGCGTGAGCATACCCAAAATGAAGCTCATTCACTACCTCAAGAACTGGATCGTCGAGTGCGCGCCGTACCTCGACAAGTTTGACGGCGCGCGGCACTTTGCCACGCACGTGCCCGTCATGGCCGCCCGCTCGCCCGCGCTGCTGTACGCCGTGCTCGCTTTTTCCGCGCGGCAGACGGAGCGCCGCACCAAGTCCACTCAGACGTACGACAGCATCGAGCTCTACCAGGAGTCGATCCGGCTGCTGGCGCCGGGCATGCGGGCGCACGACGCCAACATGCTCGTGACGGCGTGCATCCTCGCCGTCATGGAGCTCATGTCGGGCAGCCCGCGCAACTGGCGGCGCCACATTGAGGGCTGTGCGACGCTCTTCGACCTCTTCCACGTCAACGGCTTCTCCGGGGGCGTGCTGCAGGCCGTGTTCTGGTGCTACGCGCGCATGGAGGTCTGCGGCGCCATCATCTCGGGCGGCGCGGAGAGCACGGTACTGGCGCTGCAATCGTGGGTGCCAGCGGCTCCGGGAGCGCTTGCTGCTGAGGCGGACGAAGATTTATTTGTGCGCAGTGCGTTTGCCCGTAGTAGCTTGGAGAATAGCGACATGCATGCGAATTGGGCCGTGTACCTGTGTGCCAAGGCGTGTGATTTGCTGTACAGGAGCACGCGTGCGACGGAGCGGCGTGAGCCTGGGCAGCAGGACAGCAGTCCGTTTGCGGTGCAGTGGAGGGCGCTCTGGGGGGACCTCGAATTTTGGTTCCAGTCACGCCCAGACAGCTCGCTGCCGACTCTCGTGTCAGAGGACAGCGGCCAGACGTTTCCCACCATTCTCTACGCGCACTGGCCGGCCATCTCGTCCAATCAGGTGTACCATGCCACGTGCCTCATCATGCTCGACATGCGGCCGCGGGACGAGGCTGTGCCGTCGCCCGAGGGATCAGCCGCGTGGCACGCACGCCGCGTGTGCGGCATCTCCTTGACGAACCCGCACCGCGCCAGCCTCATCAACGCCATCCAGCCGCTGTATCTGGCCGGCAGGCTGCTCACGCATACCGCCGAGCACATTGCCGTCGGGCGCTTGTTCAAGATGATTGAAGAAACAACGGGCTGGGGGGCGCTCTGGCGGCTGCGGGATTTGGAAATTATTTGGGGGTACATGCCTGGCGAAATCCTGGCTGCGATGGGCTGATTTCTATCATTCATCTGTTATCTTCGTCTATAGAAGACGGAATCTTGGTCTCCTGCTCAACCAAGACAGTGTTTTTTGATGAAACCCACGACACTATGTGATAGGGTCCCGCAGGTAAACTCCATATCATATCCTGATGCAACACATGTTACTGACTAATTCAAGTACATAGTTGCAGAGGGTGTGAAAATTCTCCTATCATTTTACAGGGACAGATGCACCACCGCCGCTCAGAGGGCGGCGAGGCCCAGACTGTTGATTAATCCTGGCCAGTACAGGGTAACTACACTCTGACCCGACGTGACGAGTGAGCCTCATAGCGACCATGTCATCAGTGACAACGAAATTGCTTCCGCTTTATACTTTTCTTTTCACTGCTTTTGAACAGCTGATATGAGCTAAGCCATTTGCACTATGTGGAACTTTTGACAGCCTCATCGACAAACGCGAGCGAAAACAACCAAGCGACATTGACAAAATGCTACACGCCGCCCCTTTAGTAGGTATCATGAGCCTCACATCGCCACCATTCTCATTCAGTCATCGTACCTGCTTCTTCTCGACATTGTTCGCTTTCTGCTCGACAAGGCTGTGTATTGCGGCCCTGTCGGCCAAGTTTTAATCGGAGTTGCCTGGGGCAAGCCGAGCGCGCCGAGGCCGAGGAAGCTATTGTTCAATTGTGATATCTCGGTCTTTTGCTGATCGTCTACGAAGGTTCGTATCGCGAGCCCTTGTCGCAAATGCATTCCGCTGACAACGGCAGGTCCGTCCCTCGGAGCCAGCTGCACATCGGGAAAAGAATCGAAAAAGTTGGCCGAAGCGACTCCTGGAGTTGAAGCAAACGCTGTTCGTACTGCACACACTAATGTTAATTGGCTACATTGCAGCTGCTAGCTATTCTGGCACATCAAACCTATTTGCAGCGTATATTGCCGGAACTTGGATGAGTTGGTGGGATTCGGAGGTTGCGCAGGTCCAGCTTCCAGATAGGCAGAGTCTACTGACCGGGCAGTCAACGCGACGAGCCTATAGAGATCAGAGAGTGCGCCGGTCGACGCTTCTGGCATTGGCCAATATGAGAGAATGTATTGTGTGACGGTGAACAGAGCGCTGCAACCAGACTTCTTTGTGAGTATAGTCCGGCTTCATATTTGGAACCAAGCGCTAATTCGTGGGCACTAGGTGTCGACAGATTTCTCGATACCAATCACAGAGATGTTCACGACCGAAATTGTTTGGAAATGCTTGGTCTACAACCTCCTCGGTGATCGGCAAGACGCTCTGCGGTGTGTGGGTGCTTCGACTACCACAAGCTACGACAGGTAGCACGAAAACGATCAGGCAGCCACGTCCAGCAGCGTACAGAAAAAAACGAATCAAAGGGCAAGACGCATACAGGGGGTTGTAGGGTGCCTGAAGCTGGGATCGCTGCTAATGACGCTGCCTACTACTGTCGCCTATAGATGGGTCCAGGCAGATGCCAAAGACGCTGCCTATGAGGCAGGGCGGCCGCGACGCCGCTAAGAAAGACCGACTGCTGTCGCCCAGAAATAGATTTGCAGATAGCTCAGGATTCTGTACCGGCTGACGTCAAGCCGCGGTCGCTCTACCCAGCCTCCATTCTAGGATGAGCCATGGTGGCACGCCAGGCAGATTTGCTTCTCATCTCGTCCATAGCCGAAAGCAAGGCGATATCTACGACCGGGGCAGACACGAGTTCCAACTCCAAAATGTTCCTCTGTGTGACATGGGTCACTCTGCTGTGTAACTACCGTCATAGGACCGTTGGATATTGGCTTGTCCGTACAGAGAGAGGCCCAAGAGGTTGCACCGACGTGTGGCGAAGAGTGCTGGCCAAGCAAAGGGCGAGGCCCTTGCTGTTTGAGGAGTGAGTTTCTGATTCGCACGAATGCCAGCGCAACTCAGAAACTAGGCAGCAGTCTGCAGCCTATTGAGGAGCCTACGCAATCAATTCCATTCCGTGTTGGACGAGCGCGTAGGAATGGGGGGAAGCTGCCTAGGATTGTCTAAATGATGTAACACAGGAAGACAGACAGAACTTACATATAAACAGCTACTGCCAGGTGGGAGCTTCAACAAGCATACTTGCATTCATCATCCACATTTATCATCCATCATCTTCATCACCCATCATCTTCATCACCATGGCCGACTTAGTAGTATCAATCACACGCATCTTACTGATGCTGTTCAATGTCATACTTCACTTTGGCTGCGCTATTGAGTATTACTTCAGTCCCTTGTCCTCGGCCGATCATGAAGCTCCGAAAATCGACTGCATGATGACTGCGCTGGGCCACTTGACCTTGGGCATTTCCCTTATTGGACTTGGCATTGCTGGCAAGTATGGGGAGTTGAGCATTGTGGTTCTGAGCTACCTGTGGGTGTTGATTGCCGAGGTCTGGCTGCTGTGGCGCGGCAAGCAGTATAACGAGTATGTTTCCAAGACACGGCAGTAATAAGCTTCATCGACTTGCTAATCAAGATTACTGTGCGTAGGGCAAAGATTCTGGGGGTTCTCGGCACTGCTATCCTTGGCTATACGTTATCGAAGGAGGTCCTGTGGTGCACTGCTCTTCAGCATTAACAAGGGAGGTCTGATCACGGGGATAGGATGAACGATGTTGAAATCACCTTTGCCTTTAACAGCTTATTGGCTTGTGTGTGCTAGGGGTACTCTGTGTGGTGGCTTGTGGACAAGGCGAGAAAATCGGAGGAACTGAGAGCGACAGACCAAAAACTCATGATTCAGGACGAGCAACAAGCAGCCAAGTACCAATCAAAATAGTTACGAGATAAAACGCATTGTGAAGTGGATTCCTTGGTGAATGAGGCTTCCCCGTTACCCAACGTGCCAACGTGTGACAGGGCGGTTTTAGTTTTTAGCAGTGTGGATGCAGGCCCAACGTTTTTCCGCGTCCACCACTCGGCGAAACTCGGGGCAGGTCAAACTCCTGGGCCAGAAATCGCGATTCTGGAGCAAGCTCGCATCCAAACACCAGACACACTCTCCATCCTTTTTTCCCTTTTTACCTCACCTCTTTTGTTCGCGCCTTTCGCGATCAACTTCCTTTTCTTCCCTTGTTCCCTCTCCCCTCTAATTGGTCCCCCGCCATCTCCTCACAATGTTTCGCAGTCGCGCGCTTGCCACGGTCGCCAGAGCTGCCAAGGTACGCATCCCGCCGGCGCCCTATTTTTTTCTGCGTCTCATGAGCGACAAGCTCTCCCCCCCGGAGCTTCCGCTAACCAGCAACCACAGCTCCAGGCCTCGCCTGTTGTCAGACTCCCCGGCGCCACTCAACAACGCAGAGCGCTCAGCATCCACGAGTACCTCTCGGCCGACCTCCTGAGAAAGGTAGAGAAAATAACTCCCTCGGACGATCCGGACGCATGGCCCCCAATGTGAAACTTACCGCGCAAATAGTATGGTGTCGGCGTCCCCAAGGGCTCCGTCGCCCACACTGCCGAGGAGGCCAAGGCTGTCGCCAACAGCATTGGCGGCGACGACATGGTCATCAAGGCTCAGGTCCTCGCTGGTGGCCGTGGCAAGGGTACCTTTGACAATGGCCTCAAGGGTGGTGTCCGCGTCATCTACTCTGCCCAGGAGGCCGAGATGTTTGCCCAGCAAATGATTGGCCACAAGCTCATCACCAAGCAGACCGGTGCCGGCGGCCGTCTTTGCAGCGCCGTCTACATTTGCGAGCGCAAGTTTGCCCGTCGCGAGTTTTACCTCGCCATCCTCATGGACCGCGCCTCCCAGACCCCCGTCATCGTGTCGTCCTCCCAAGGCGGCATGGACATTGAGGGCGTCGCCAAGGAGAACCCCGAGGCCATCATCACCACCTACGTCGACATCAATGTCGGTGTCACCGACGAAATGGCCCGCGGCATCGCCACCAGCCTCGGCTTCAGCGAGCAGTGCATCGAGGACGCCAAGGACACGATCCAAAAGCTCTACACCATCTTCCGCGAAAAGGATGCCACCCAGATCGAGATCAACCCCCTCTCGGAGACGTCGGACCACCAGGTCCTCTGCATGGACGCCAAGTTTGGCTTTGATGACAATGCCGACTTTCGCCAAAAGGAAGTCTTTGAGATGCGCGACCCTACCCAGGAGGACGCCGATGAGGTGCGCGCTGCCAAGAGCGGCCTGAACTTCATCAAGCTTGACGGTGACATTGGCTGCCTCGTCAACGGTGCCGGTCTTGCCATGGCCACCATGGACATTATCAAGCTCAACGGTGGCCAGCCCGCCAACTTCCTCGACGTCGGCGGTGGTGCCACCCCCCAGGCCATCCGTGAGGCTTTCGAGCTCATCACCAGCGACCCCAAGGTCACTGCCATCTTTGTCAACATTTTCGGTGGCATTGTCCGCTGCGACCACATCGCCACTGGCCTCATTAACACGGTCAAGGCCCTCGACCTCAAGATCCCCATCATCTGCCGTCTCCAGGGCACCAACAACGAGGCGGCCCACAAGATCATCAGCGACTCTGGCCTGAAGATCTTCTCCATTGACGACCTCCAGAACGCTGCTGAGAAGTCTGTCCAGCTGTCCAAAGTTGTCAAGCTTGGTGAGTATCCGATGATGTACGGTTTGTGATGGAATGCTAACGTGACACAGCCCGCGAGATTGACGTCGGTGTCGAGTTCAACCTGGGAATTTAAACTATTGAAATGTACTAGATCAGTGTAATATTTTTTTGCCGCCGAGAAAAAGAGGGAATAGGGGTAGCCTGGGATGGCTGTGTTTGTTTGTTATAGCATGCATCGCTCTGAGACGCAGGGTCAACATGGGAGGTTCTGCTTGTGCCGTTCTATCCGTATCGAAAATCGAAATTCGAGCAACTATAGCCGTCTACCGTGATACACACTGAGTTCAATGTACGACGACGCTGCAGAATGCGGCTCATTGACAAGGCCAGCACTAATGCAAGCCGCATGGATTTATATGAATACCCAACCCAGAAGCAGCTTCCCCCACAACCGATACGGAACCAGCCATTTCCCCAACGGCTCGGACGCCAACGATGCTGGTCGACCTACAACTAGTTAGAGTCACCTTTCCCAATTTGATGCCGAGGCAAGACGAGCAAGGTGCGCAGCGAACATTTTGGTTGGGCTGAGTATGACGAACTGAGCGACATGTGTGGCCAGCTACTACAACCCATCACCGCAGAAGCGCACCATGTTGAACCGACAAATATTCGGAAGCCAATCTGACCTAGACATGCATGAATTTGGTTTATTTCCCCCTACTTTTACCAGATAACTAGCTAGGCAGCAGTCATGACGATTGTGGTGCTTGGTTGTTGATGACAGACAGTGACACGGCCCCACAGGAGCTTCAGGCCAATAAGGAGGCCAATTTCGACAGGCAACAGTTTTTCAACCACAACTTTTACATCCGATACCTTTCTCAACATCCAATTGCGACCACATTACACTCCCTAGTCCCGACCATGTCATCCAGAATCGCTACCATGGCGTTGCGCGCCCGCCTCTCCCCCGGCACTCTGCGCGCCGCGCCGCGCTTCCTCGTGCCGACCTCGCGCCTCTCCTCCTCGGCCGCCGACACGCCACCCCCAGCACCGCCGCTGCTCCAGAAGCTCAAGGGCGACCTCAAGACGGCGATGCGCGCCAAAGACACGGAGCGCCTGTCCGTGCTCCGCGGCATCCTCGCCGCGCACCTCAACGCCTCCAAGACGGCCACGCCCATCAAGACGGACGCGCAGCTCGTGGCGCTGCTGCGCAAGATGGCCGCCGGCAACGCCGAGGCGGCCGCCGAGGCGCGCGCGGCCGGCCGCGCAGACTTGGCCGACAAGGAGGCCGCGCAGGGCGCTGTCCTGCACGAGTACGTGCAGGGCAGCGGCGTGGCGACCCTCGGCGCGGCGGAGCTCGGCGCCCTGGTGGAGAGCACGGTCGCCGAGGTCAGGACGGCGGGCGCGGAGGGCAAGTCGCTCTTCGGAGATGTCATGAAGAAGCTGAGCGCGAAGCTCGAGGGCAAGGATGTGGATAGGAAGACGCTGGCGGACTTGGTCAAGAAGCTGGTTTCGTCGTGAAGGTGCTGGAGGATGTGGGCGGGGATGATGGGTTTGGCGTGTACGATTAGCTAGAGAAAAGCATGTGCTTTGTACTATTTCATCACCGCTTCCTGTACAATACATATGCACCAAGGTGCAATTTCATACGCTGTTGGCCATTGGCTCCCCCTGCCGGCATGGCTCCGGAACGGCTTCCCCACCTCAATTCGGCTCAAAGTGACTCACGACATGCAACTTGCCAGTAACACTAGCAAACAAACAGGCAAGCTTTCCAACACGAAGCAGCGCAAGACGATTGCAAGATTCATCCACAATATGCCGCGACAAAACATCAGCGGCGGCTCCACCTTTGAGGACCAAATTGGCTACTGCCGCGCCGTCGTCCTCGACGACGGCTGGATCCACGTCTCGGGCACCACGGGGTAACTACCACCACCACCCTCCCTTACCGCCAGCCCTTTTCTCTGACTAAATCGAGATACCAGGTACAACTACGCCACGGGCGAGATCTCCCCCGACGTCGCGGCGCAGGCCGAGCAGACCCTCGCCAACATTGACAAGGCGCTCGCCGACGCCGGCGCCTGCATGGCCGACGTCGTGCGCGTGCGCTACATCCTGCCGGACCGCGCCGACTTTGCCGCGACGTGGCCGGTGCTGCAGCGGTATTTCGGCGCGGTGCGTCCGGCGGCGACCATGATCCAGGCGGCGCTCATGAAGGACGAGATGAAGATTGAGATTGAGGTGACGGCCAAGAAGGGCTGCAGCAAGCCGTAGCGTTTTACAATCATGTCTATATTGCAAGTATGCCTCTAGTTTTTAATATACAAGACTGGCCACGGCAAAGCCGGCGGCAAACGTCGTCGCAATCGTAATCAGGCTCGACGTGGACAGCAGCGAGATGCCACTGATGCCGTGCCCCGAGGTGCACCCGCCCGCCATGCGCGCCAATCACCATGAGCGCGCCGCCCAGCACGGCCTGCGCCGGCGCG